TGAGTAAATGCTCTGGGTCTTAAAGTTAACATCGCCAACTGGCACGTGTTCTCCTGCCATGCAGAATGCAAAAGTCCACTAAAACCAAGACTGCCCATTTCAGTCTGACAAAGAAGTAGATGGAAGACAGAATGTAAATGGTTTTCCACTTTGCAGGCTCTCTCCAACCCTCCCCCACACCTTCCCTTGGATGAACGCCGGGAAAGTGCTTGATGACTTTACCGTTTTTACATTCAGATTGGGATTCACCTGGTGTTCATTTGTTGAGAAGCACAGTGGAAGACTAATTAGAGGTAACAGATAGTCGATACAGCCATTTTCATTTGCACAGTAAATTATGCTGATGCAGTGCAAACAGTTTAATGAGAGTTTTAAGGAGTGTGATTTCGGTCCCATTCCTTCCTATTCTATGTCAGGTAACAGTTTGTGCGTCTAACCATGTGCATCCAGGCATCGGTTGTCAATTATGGCCTTTCTGTTGCGTTCACAAACATTACGCTCGGTCTGTCCATTGGTGGACTGAGGGAACTGAAAATCTCTCCTGCATCTAAAAGGAAAGAGGCATTTAGTACTTAACAGATGTTGGAAACACGGATGATTCATTGGTTAAAGAGCTCTCAATGTTAAAAACTTAGATCTGGACCAAATCAACAAGGTATTGTGATTACAGCAGAGACCTTCACCCTGATCCAGGTCAATTCCCTCAGGGCTGGTCCTCTGACAGGAAGTCCAAAAATCGGGGGGTGAGTTTCCAATTCAAAAGCACACAATAGCAACAATGCATGTGTGTTGTGCACTGTCTCCCCCTCTTTCCTCTCTTCTTCTTCCTTAAACAAACATCCTTCCTGTGGAAGATTATTTCAGATCAAGTCAGCATTTCCACATAAAGTACATTTACATACTGTATTCTAGCACCGCACTGGGCACACCATCCACTGCACAGACTCATTAAGCGCTAAAGTGGAGCGACTTGGCCGAAGCGGGAGCCACGGATCAATGCTGACCTGTTCTAATTGAGGCACGCTCGTTATGGGAAGGGTATTAAAAAGGACAAGAAGAGATTAGTGGAAATGTAACGATTCGTTGCAGCTGCAGCATGGGTAAACAAAGGCTGATGCAGAGCTGTAAACCTAAATGACTTTCTCATCATCGACCTCGCAGATTAACTGAACATATTGGAATGGGTTGGAAGAGGTGCTGCCGCTTTCTAAAAACCAACCAAGCCATAAGCTTTGAAGCGATCACTAGCAAACAATGCCATTTAAAAGTGCAATGCCATGCAAACAATGCATCCTTCAAAGCAATATCTAATCAAAATGGTCAAAAGCAAAGAATGCTATTTCTCCAATATAGGATATTGATGTATAGGGATCACAATGAGACCAATTCTATCAATGTAGTAATATAAAAATCTATATGTAATTAATCAGCTTGGTCTATATATCAATTGCTAATGTTAACACATATTCGTCTTGATGTCTCTCATTGAATCAGCCTCTGAATGTTTTAGTCTCCTCGACCAATCAGTATATAACCCTTTCTGCTCAACGCTCCAGATGTGTGCAAATACAAAAACACTGCTAATGAAACCAAGTTTTTTTTTCTCATTCTCATTCCATCTCTTTTTGCCAGATAAAGCCAAATAACAGCTGGTCTGGTTGTGAAGACTTCACTATTTCGCTTGTCAGCAGAAACACATGCTGTTGCAAAATTAGAAATGTGCAGTCAAAGAGTGAGCTTGAGAACAAAGAAGATGAATTCAAAAGCAGCGGTCTGTTTTGGGCCTTGAAACTGAATGAATGTGGTCATTACTGACATTCAAACAGGGAAATGCGAGGAACTCTGCCGAAATATGTTGAGAGGAAAAATGTTAGCAGGCTTTCGCACCCTCCCCCAAAAACCCGCATCAGCACTTCAAACAGAATTCAATAGTGACCTACATACATAGGCGTCAAGATACTATTAAAAACAATTAATCTACAAAAATCAACTGACCTAATCTATTTTGCACGGTTTCTCTGCCATCTATAAATTACAAGAACTAATGCCATATGAATGAAGGAAATGTCTGTGTTTAAATCTTCATTAAAACAATCTGTCCAAACACTTCTGGTTCTCTTTCTATTGTTAAAAACACATCAGACACCACACATAAAGAGAGGCAAAGCATCTAGGCTTTTCTTTTTTTATTACCAATGCCAATTAGAGCAGTCAATCATTTTGTTTTCCCACAGCTTCAGAAAGCTCTTATGCATAGTCACTTTTCAATTGCTTGACAGGCTCACTTCCCATGTTTGAGGGATTATAGCTACATTATCCAATCCTTCCAACCAGCTGTGGTGAAAAACAGCTGTACATTTCCAGCCAATCCTTCCATCTCCTTCAGTTCTTTCAGGTAAGAGAAGCTCTTACCTGAGCCTTTGAGTTTATTCCTTTATAAAAGATCTGAATGGAGAACCCAAGGTATTGAGATTTGCGAACAGGAGTCAGAATGTTGAGATTCTGTTTGTCTGAAGCCCATGTACTCACTGGATTTTAATAGCTTAAGATACCAGCACCAACTCCAGGGCATTGGGTATAAGAACATGATTTCAATGGAAAAACGGTATGTTCCGCATAAAGCTGATGTTAATCAATGATAATCCAGTTTGAACTGTACAGAGCTTTGATGTGTCTCTCTCTGACTTCTCCAGTTTCAGATTTTCCCCTCATGTCTGGTTGCCTCAGCACAGAAATGGATCACCAAGCAATTACTGCTTCCTCTTCTGCCACTAATTCATGACAGATTATTTAGCCAAATCAGCGATGTTTCACTAGGCATAGCTGCTTTCGAAATCTAGGCCATTTTTCAGCATGCACCCTTGCAATTCCTGAGAGAAGAAATCATGCTTATTATTGTTTCTTTCCAGATCCTGTCAGCTCAAGATTATTGAGCAAACTGATCTACAGGCATTTTTTTTCCAGACATGGCAGAGTAATAGGGATTTGCTTGTGGGGGAGGCTGGGGGTTCAAATTGGCAAGAGACAGTGATATGACACAGCATCCAGAGAGAGGAGCTGGAGGAGGAACAATAGTGTCAAATTAATATCATGTTTATAGATTTACATTTATTTTATAAACTAAAACACAGTCTCTCTTTGCACAAGAGCAGATCAGTGTTTTGGGAATAAGATTTCTCTGGGATGTGAATGCAATTATTCAATTTTGCAGTTCTGTAAGACACTAAAGAAAACTGATGTAAATTTATCAACTTAAAGGCTGTTGTCAGCACTGACAATAGTTTTAAAGGGGTCATATGATGCTGCTAAAAAGAACATTATTTTGTGTATTTGGTGTAATGAAATGTGTTTATGCGGTTTAAAGTTAAAAAAACACATTATTTTCCAGTTTTTTTTTTAAATAATTTTTATAAAGACAGCAGCTCAGATTGAAAACAAATGATGTATAAAATATTGATTTAGTTACTATTTTAATTATACTAGATTTTTAACTTATTTTAAATGATATTGCAGCTCTCTAGTGGGCCCTGGCCCATTTAGTGGAAAACCAGTGAGCTTACATTTACATTTACATTTAGACATCTAGCAGACGCTTTTATCCAAAGCGACTTACAAATGAGGACAATGGAAGCAATCAAAATCAACAAAAGAGCAATGATATGCAAGTGCTATAACAAGTCTCAGTTAGCTTAATGCAGTAGCCTACACGTAGCAAGGTGTTTTTTTTAATCATATAATAAATAAAAAGAAAATGGATAGAATAGAAAAAGAATAGAGCAAGCAAGTGTTAAGTGTTAAATTGAGCATAACCATAAGACTTTATATTCAGCAACTGTAATTATTTTTCACTGACTTAAGATTTCATTTCAAGATTTCCATTTACATTTGAGAGGGGAAATCACTATTTTAAATTCCCATTTCCTTACATATATATAGACTGCTGAACTAAACAAACAAACAGCTAAGATGGTTTGCCTGTCTTAGCTGGTTTAAGATGGTCTCCCAGCCTCATTGTCTAAAAAACTGACCAAAACCCTTCTAAAACCAGCCAAAAGAGTAAAGACCATGCTGAGACACTATCTAAAACCATCATACATAGGCTAGTTTGAACTGTTTTAGCTATTTCCATGCAAAACTTGCATTTAGACAGTAGACACCATAAACCAGGCTCTGGGTTTGTTTAGCAATATTTATATGTCACAATGACCTACTTGAATGAAAACTCTCATAGATGAGAAACTCACTGGCTCTTATTAATGGAGATTTTCCCGACAACCAGCAGCAACAGGCAAGGGCTGTTCAATTGCTCTATTCAAAGTTCCAGTAACCGGGCAAATACACAAAAGAGCAGGCACACATAACGGCGTGAATAACATGATAGGGAGCTTCACTAATGAAGTGAATCATTCAATCCGTCTTTCAAATAATAACAGCTTCGTTTTACTTCATCAGACAGATGTTTCTATGGGAACGGAATCCCTCTAACGTTAGAGAGACAAAAACAAGCGTTGCGTACACAGGTGCGAGTAAAGAAATATGTGCGGTGTATTGTTACAATTACTTCATGAAATACTACATTTCTACTCAAAAAAAAAAAATTTAAACATCCCCTAAGCCTCTAAACTAACCCTTTACACTGTTACCACAGCGTTGTATAAATAAAACTGATGAGGTTACAGCCATAACCGAACTGTCACCAAGCATCGCACCTTTACTTCGTTCACGCTCAGTGGTGCCACGCCACAACAGTTTTCGGCTTTAAACGTGTTGCCACGTCCCTGACCTACTGTAAAACATCTATGTCAACTGACCTGACATGTTTAAAACAAAATCAATTGGTTGAACACAGCACCACACCAGCTCGTATAGAGAGACACGCAGGGCAAAAGAAAACGCCCTGCCTTGTCTATACGTAACGTTACAAGCTGTAGTAGCTGATAGTAACCTAATCAACAAAAACACAATGGTAGCCGTGGAAGAATGCGACATATTTCACTTACCTTTAACTTGCGTTTCATATTCGGAAATAATCTCCTTGTCCTTTCGGAATTTAGCCGGAGACGTCATATTGCTCTAAACGAAACAAGTCCTGTCACAGCGAGAAACGCCGCAGAACAAAAGCCTCTTCGCCCGCACTTCGTCTACAGATATCCAGTGAATATGTAGGAATGGAAAGCAGTGTATGGGTATTGTCTCCTACCGATGATCAATCACGCCGCATTATTAGTTGAAGCTGCTGTTGGCTCCTATGTTGAATATGTCCGTGACAACACGCGAGGAAATGAAGCCAAAAAGAAGAGTTTTATCCCACCGTTCACTCACACTGGATCCGCGCGACCAGACGCAGCGCCTTCAAAAGTTTCAGCCTCCCTCCGGCGGGCAGACGTGTGAGTGAGGCTACAGACGCTTCTCAGTGCTGGATGAAGGCATGGATTAGACTTCCCAACATCACACTGCGCACACACACACACAGGGCAGAGAAAAGTTCACTGGATCAGATTTCTAAAGACTAGTTCCTTCCAGTAAACTTCCTCAAAATATTTTCGTTTTGTTTCATTTGTTTTAAACAGACGTTCAACCTCATCAAAGCTAATCTTTACAGTGTTTAGTTTGAACAATGTAAACTGACGCATATTAAATAGCAAAATGTGAAGAGGAAATCTGATATTATTCGGACATTACACAATTTTTAGTAGGCTACTGCATGATTTAAAAAAAATAATTTTCTGGTATTTCTTTGTCATATTTCATAACAGTAACAGATATTTCACATAACATTATGGCATCAATTAAACTCATACTTTTAACCCAGTATCATAGGTGTGGAGAATATTCTGACATGCTGCCATTTATGATTTTTTTTATCTAAAATCGTTAAAGAAACATTCCAGTATACTGCACACATGAGAGGATTAGGTTAACGTGCACGTTAACATTGTCATATCGTGTAAAGCACGTTAAAATTGAAGCCGCCAATCCTGAAGACTGCAGGGTTGTTGGGGACTTTAAATCACTAGTCCTAAAATTAAAGAGGCTATGAGCAACAAGAGGGGGTTTGTCGAGTAACGTGATGTGAAAAGCAGAGAGGCCCCTGGTGACTCTGAATAGTTCAGGCAGGGCTTTCCTTAAGGAGATTCCTGCATTTCATCCGGAGAATTGCTGCGGTTTCTCTAATGCCTAATGCACCCGTATCATATACTGTTGAACTGAATCGATCAACCACTTACCTTAAAAGGCGATTTCCATGTCTAAAATCGAGTTTCATGTAGCAGATTTCTCCCTCAAGACTTGCTGTTTCGCTATTCTCTTGAATTTTCCCAAACTCAAACCCCGCCTCTTTTTCATGGAAGAGAAAGAACAACCCCTCTCTATTGTCATTGGTTACAACACACGAACACGACATGAATCTATCAACTTGCCAAAAGATACATTTCTGAGGCATTAATACTGTTTTATTTCATACTTCCATTGCATGCCGCAGATTTTAAAGGCTTGAGTGAATTAAATCACTTTACATATTTACAAACTGCCGTTTTACAGCCTTCCTTTTTACTGTTTTTTTCCTTTTAATTTATGTCGTCGTGTTCATAATAATAAGATTAATAATCATCAGAAATAACTGAATCGTGTATGAATCCTTGCGAGTCGGATCTTTTCAATGAATCAGATGAACCGGTTCACAAACCCGGTCTTAACTGAACGATTCATTCACGATCACCAGTCGGTCTATGGGATCAGATTCCCGCCAAATGTATTGCAGTCACGGATAAAAAAAAATAACAAGCGTGAAACCAAAATGTAAAAACGCAAGTAAAATTATATTGCACAAAATTGAACCCCTTTGCTGTCACCCCCCATTTTCGGCATGGAAACACAAATGACATACCCAAAATTAAAAGGTTGCTGCTCACGAGTCTTTCTGACTAGATACATAACAAAGTGACGTGACATGTGGCCAAGTATAGTTACCCATACTCTGAATTAGTGCTCTGCATTTAACCCATCCTAAGTGCACATACGCAGCAGTGAACACACACACACCATGAACCCGGTGCAGTGGGCAGCCATTTATGCTGCGGTGCCCGGGGAGCAGTTGGGGGTTCGATGCCTTGCTCAAGGGCACCTCAGTCATGGTATTGAAGGTGGAAGAGAGTACATTCACTCCCCCCACCTACAATCCCTGCCGATACGAGACTTGAACTCGCAACCTTTGGGTTACGAGTCCGACTCTCTAACCATTAGGCCACGACTTAAGACTTAAGAATCAGAATTACTCAGACTGTTATGATAATAGAGATATATAAGCTCAAACACAAAAATAAAAATATTAAAAACATATCTTTTAAATGTATACAAAAATATGTTGCTGTGGTATATGATTTTAGAAACACAATGAAGCTAAAGCCACAAGTCTACTAATGCTTCATTTGAAATTTCAGGACATGATCTCTAAAACTGTAAATTTTATTAAACATTTTCTAAGACCATGTCATGTGTGTTTTTAGAGAAGGCTAATAAAAGTCTAATTAAAAAAAATGATGGCCCCCTGTAAGCTCTCCTGCGTGCTGTCGCCTCATGTCTGGTTCAGCAAACTGCCCCATTCATGATGCTATTGTTCTCCCTAGACGAACCTTTCACACCTCCGCGAGGTATGACACATAATCCTCATTATTCCTTTATCATTATTCTTTTGATTTACTGTTGTTAAACTATGCTATTTATAGCCTTTTATATCGCTGCACAAATTAGCATTCCAGATGTACACATTATTTGTTATGAAAATACCCCAAATCTCAAGAAAATCACATACAAACCATATACTATCGTAATCGTGTGTTTATTATTTGGATATTTCATGGGTACAGAGGTTTCTCTGTGTTCGCTGTGATCAGAAATCAACGCGGAAAAGTGAAGGAAGCTCGTGACAGGATGAGACGGGGCTTGTTATGAGACGCAATAAGATTGACAAGGCGATGGACGAATCAGGGTTTCTGTCTCCATGTATATGCATCTTTGGACTATAAGCCCTTAATAACCCTGTTCAGTGAAGTTATGTGAACACAAATAAACCACTGCAGACGTGACTGAATATGAATGCGTGGTGAATTTCTATTCTAAAAATGACACATACAGATGTATTATTTTGCACTCCTGACATAAATTACTAAATTACTGTCACTGCAACAATGTTTTATCAAAACAGTGGTCAAATATCGAAGCTAGACTCTTTAATATTTCTACTGATGCACCGTTTGTCCAGATTAAGTAAGAGTAACATCAATAAGTAAATAGTAATAAAAAAGCTGAATTAAAAAATTACAAATAGTAATGAAACATCAATAATCTGGGGCCATCGCCGATCTTTGACAGCTAAGGGGTTAAAAATGAAAGCAAAGTTTTCAGAATAGCAAACAATGGTCACGGATCAAAAAATAATAAGTGTAAATCAAAAATTTAAAACGCATAAAAAAAAAAATAAGCACGAATCAAAACTTTAAACACATTTAAAATCATATTGCACAAAACTAATATATATTTATAACTAATATACTAATAATATAGAAATATTAATGCAATTTGCACACAAAATCATGTTTTCCTTGGTTATATTTCTCTGTTTTTTGTGCTCTCAGACATTTTCTGCACATATTTTTATTTTTTGTACGCTTATGCTGTTTTTCCCTTCACTCTTTATTCCACGTTCTGCGCGTCTTCTTCCAAATGTTGCGGTTAGAGTTTCATGTAAATCAGGGTGGATAGTGCTACAGAGTAGACAGTTACCAGGTTAGAGGCCAGGTGGATTTGATATACACAATGATTTATTTGCATATTGTGTTTATTTACATAGCTACATATATAATTGGTAACACTATCATATTAATGTTTCAAATTTATAAAGTTTGAACATAACAACAATATGAAAGTAAAACAGCCAGTAAATTGCGGCAAGTTACTGTCTTTAGAATAAGACATTAAATCATTCATTCAAATGGCTGATTCATTCATTGACGAATAAAGCGAATCATTCAATACGAAAGGCTGCTGTGTTGCTTGTAGAGGACACTGTTCTGCTGTGGCTTTGTTTGGACTCTTCGTCAAAATAGAGCAAAATGAGAAAATAGTTACTATTAATAGTAAACTCACTCAAGATATACTTCTTGTTATATTGATTTAGTTCAATAAACATTTGCAATGGTCCTGATATTAGGAAAAACACTCTTCCTCGTGTTTTGCTTAACTGTATGTCATAAAATAAATTATAGTGCCATTCTTTACAAACAACATTTATTTTAAATGCTAAGCCTATAACTCATTTAAAACAAAACTTAAAAACTGAACCTCCTACTGGGCTCACAACCCTCTCATTTCCATGAGTGAATCGTTAGACGTGGTGTAACATTTGGTTGATAAACTATTAGCCTATTTATTTTGTAAAGAAGGTTTTGTACTTCTCTCGTATCTGAATATCTACTTAAACAACATCCTTCACATATGCAAAAAATATGTTTGGAAAACACCACGGCAAAACCTACATATTGTACAAAAGACAAGCTAAATTGAGTCACCAATACCTTTTGTATGTTTAGTTGTCTCATTTACTTTGATGATGAAGAGGCTGCGATGTAAAGATTGCAATGCTAGAATTGATTATGTTGTGTGCGCGCAGGAGGCGCCGGTGCAAACACCTGGGTTACTCACATCAGCGGAAAGATGTGATAGATGAGAGCAAGACATCATTCAAAAATGATCTATTTTTTTATTTGTGTACCTTCAAAATAACAGTGAAATGTTGTACTTTTGTAAAATAAAGAAAACATACAAAATGCACTTGCCGTCTCTGTGAACCTCTTCCTGAAATGAAGAAAAACTCAGCGATACTGTCTAACACTATACTTGTCACACAGAATGAGAAATATATTTATAGAAACCTTGAAGTGCCCGCTTTTACCTGTTCACGTTTTGCTTATTTGACATTGAATGCATTATATAAGTCACTTTGGAATATAAATCATAGCACGTTCAGAAGATAAAAAATGCAACGTGTAGTCCGGAAAATACAGTATAACAAATTATTTTGCGGGACCCCCTGGCTTTGGGTCATGACACGGACCCCAGTTTGAAAACCCCTGCTCTTACTCATATTATCCTCTCCTAACAGTAATAACCATAACAAGACTTATAATCAGTCAGGTAAAGGCGAGCCAGGCACATCAGTGACTTCGCGAGGCCGGAGCATTTAGTGGCTGCTCCATTTCGCGATGTGACCGGAGGCGAATAAATACAGGTGAATATAACCACGAAAGATCGCTGGGACGGCTCATTTTACGTTAACAGATCAACAGGTAGGCGTACAGCAGTGACAGACAGACACATATAACGGTGTTCTGTATGGAAAGATGTTTCCCAGCTGACAGTTGTCCATTTTCCCCTGTACAAGTAAACAGAACACTTAGCATCGGCAGTAATGAGGCGCGTTGGAGTGACGTCACCGCCCCTCTTCGACTGATTGGCTAGAGGAGGAGCTGTCAATCTAGAACTAGTGGACCAATGATGACGCTCAAGCCCGCCATGATTTACATGAAACTCTAACAGCAACATTTGGAAGAAGAAGCGCAGAACCTGGAATAAAGAGCGAAGGAAAAACAGCATAAGCATACAAAAAATAAAAATATGTGCAGAAAATGTCTGAGAGCACAAAAAACAGAGAAATATAACCAAGGAAAACATGATTTTGTGTGCAATTCAGATAATTTTGCATTAATATTTCAGTTTTGTGCAATATGATTTTAAATGTGTTTAAAGTTTTGAGTCGTGCTTATTATTTTTTTAAATGCGTTATTACATTTTTGATTTACACTTATTATTTTTTGATCCGTGACCATTGTTTGCTATTCTGAAAACTTTGCTTTCATTTTTTAAATTTTGTGCAATGTAATTTTTCTTGCGTTTTTAAATTTTGGTTTCACGCTTGTTATTTTTTTATCCGTGACTGCAATACATTTGGCGGGAATCTGATCCCATATCGGTCAAACAAGCTATGCGAACATAAAAGGTGAAAATTATGTTTTGCTTAAAAGGAGGTGAGAATTTATGCGATCCTCGTATGTGAGAAAAAATATTTTCCATACTTGTAAATCCCATGGTGTATCCTCGATCAGGAGTCCATTGGAAGCTTCTTTATACCTTGCACCTAGCCTTGCAGTGCATTTAATGAATATCGTCTTCATGTTGTTTGATTTTCAGGTTACGCGCTAGCTAGAGGACAGACTAGCCAGAAAACAAGTAAGCATCAATAACTGAACTGAATCTCTTGCGAATTTCTTGTGGAGGTGGTTTGAACAAATGAATGGAACATGGAAAAGCTTTTTAGCCAAGAGATCTAAATGTAGCTAATAATCAATATTTTAAATGCAAATTATTTGTAAATTTTAAATAATTTTGTGTTTAATGAGCTGAATCACTGCTGCAACAAACTAACCGAAAATGCATGGCATTACAATAAACACACTTAAGAATAATATTAAATCAAAATAAGCGTAATAAACAGCTATAGGTACCGACATATGGTATTTTTGGAACATGTAATCCACCACAACGGGATGTCAGGGACCACGTTATGATAATAGAATCACTGAACACTTTTTGAACCAGTTCTTTGAAACGACTCGTTCGAAAGAACCGACTTGCAGAAACGATTCGGACTTCCCCTCCATAGTGGTTTTGTGGTTTGCGGAAAGGCACTGCGACCAATCAGCTAAGGAATTTGAGCTGACCAATCATGTGTGAGATATGGTAATTTGGAACCAATCAGCGTTAGAGATCGGGCTGTTTGAAAATCTTTCAGGAAGTGTATATCCGCTTTGACGCGGACGTAAACAAACGTAGTTTAGCAATCTAAACCCCGTTGTGACTATAGAGAGATTGTACTGTAGTACAATGTGTTTCTCTGCCGCCTAGATCTAGAACGATCTGATATCCGGTAACAAGTAAGAATGGTTTTATGGCATGCTTAGTAAAAAAAAACTGGATCCTATTTTAGTTAGCTAGCTAGCTCTTTAATGAGAAAGGTAGAGCTTTTCTTAGCCTCTTCTAACAGAAGCGTAAAATGAGTTGAAATTACTGTGATTTTCATTCATAATGTTAATTTGAAGGGCTTTCTCGTTTTTGTGATCAATAGACTCTAACTTGTAACGTTAGATACTGCTAACGTAATACAGGAGCAAACAGGCTACAGCTAACTTAGCTAGCTAGACAGGTGCAGGTCGTCTGTTAAACATCTGCTGTAGCCTTCACTGCATGTGCTGACTCTTTGTTATCATTTTAAATCAACAGGACCTGGCGTTTTGTTAGGAGCTTTACTTGAGAAGATCTTAACTCAACAATGTCTACTTCAAATTTCAAGAATAAGTGTGTGACGCAAGTCAACTGTATATACTGTGACAGTCTGCTGTGCATGAGAGGAATGAAAGCAGTACTTTTAGCTGATACGGAAATAGAGTTGTTCTCAACCGACATACCACCAAATAGGTGAGGTTTCCGTGATCGGATTTCACATATTGTATATAAACGTGGTCATCATAATCTTTCTGTTGGATCCCTAATAGTCTGTGTTGTTTTCCCCATTTAGGACAGTTGATTTTGTGGCAAGCTGCTATTCCACTGAAAGCTGCAAATGCAAATTAAGAGACATTGCTTGTTTGAAATGGTAAAGTTTTTATAACTATTAGGTTTTACTCGTATTGTTTAGGATAAAAAAAAGTGTATGGAATTATAACGTTTAGTATTAACAAATATGGTAATATACAGTACCGTTCAAAACTTTAGGGTCAGGAATTTAAGGAAATTTATATTTTTGTTTTCCGCAAGGATGCATAACATTTATCAAAAGTGACAAAGGCATGTATAATGTAATGCAAAAGATTTCTGTTCAAAATTTAAAAACTGTTCTTTTAACTTTCTATTCATAAGAAAATAATGAACAAAATGTATCTCTCATGCCACAAAATTAAACAGCACAGCGGTTTTCAACATTAATAATAATAAGCAAAGTTTATCGACCAATAAATATTAGAATAATTTTCAACATATTAGAATAATTTCTGAAGGATCATGTGACACTGAAGACTAGAGTAATGGCTGCTGAAAATTCAGCTTTTGCCATCACAAGAACAAATTCCATTCTATTCATGCATTACAATAGAAAAGAGTTATTTTTAAAAGTTCACATTTTTACAGTTTTTCCCCCACCTTTCACATTAAAAATATTACCAAACTTGTAATTTGGCATCAAACTTGTTTAGGCAATGTTCAGTCCATTGTTAACACTGAGCCATTTGCTGTTCTGTTTCATTGTGTCTCACAAAGCATTTGAGTCGGGTGTTTTTGTTTGTCTCTCTGGCTCTTTCTGCACATTCAGTGGGAATGTTGTGGGATATCACGTGGTGGCCCCATGCAAGCCCTGCTTGCTGTCCTGCAACAATGGTCATTTCTGGATGTTCAACAGTGAAGCTGTGTCCACTATCAATAGACTAGATGCAACAGGTTTGGGACGTCTGATGCAAAAACACTGTCTGTGCCCTCTGCTTATGGTCAGACAGGTTTTGCATACCATTGTTTCAAAGATTATCTGCTCATAGCCATCAAAAAAAAAAAAACGAATGAAAGTATAATATACTCAATGTACTTTTTTGTCAAATGAATCCTGAAATAAAAAAATTAAAAAAACAGTTCAAAGAATATCTTTTGATACAACACCTTAAAAAGCCTTTTTTTTTATTTTGGTCTGCCACACATTTTAAAAGGTAAAAGTCTAGATTGACAAACTAATGCATTTCGGTAATTGAGCCTTCCTCAGAGTGGGCCAGCCTGTCGCCCTTTGAGGAAGTCTTAATTGCCAAAATGCATTAGAGTGCCAGTGTAGACTTTAAACTTTTTTTGTTTCTAGAAGACGTGCCTTGCATTATAATTTTATCACTACTGTTTGAAACCCAGCTAAAAAGCACCTTATGTTTTTCACAACAAATGATGCTGCCAAATGATCTTTTAACTGAAACTTCAGTTATTGTTTGGTATAAATTAGGAGTGAGTTCTTGTGTATTTAAAATGAAATGAAGCTTAACTACACATACACTACTGTTAAAAAGTTTGGGGTCAGTGATAGTTTTTTTTTCTTCAGCAAGGATTCATTCAATTGATCAAAAATGCCAGTAAACAAAATAATTGTTTAAAATAAATGCTGTACTTTGCTGTAAAAAATTTTTCAGTATTTCAGACATAAGTTAATAAATGTTCTTTCATAGGGCAGAACTTGCTGCTGTGGGGAGATCTTCCAGAACTGGAGGGCAGTGATGACGAGAGTCTGGACTTTCTCTCAGAAGAAGAGTACCTCAGATAGAAACACACACATCCAAAGGAAGTAGACTCTGACGGTAGCGAACTAGTTTACTTTCACTCACACAAGTCTCCGTTTAAAGCACATTGTCTTGTCTTTAGCTGACTGGGAATAGGCAAAAGAAAAAAAAGGTCTTTACCATCCCAGCTTGATTTATATGCATTTTCTTTCTGCATCTCCTCAGATTAGTTTCAGTATGTCAGAGTGCCACTACCAAAGAGATGTTTCTGTTTTCTTTGCTTTACGGTTGCAGTAGCACAAAACATGATGATTGGATTGAAAGATTTAGGATGTTATCCTCATATGTCTTTATACAACATTCACAAATGGATCAGACTGTTTAAGAAGATTAACAGTAGTGTTACTTTGAGGTGTTAATACAGGTTATTTACTCCGGTACTAATGCAGTTTTTGGGAGGCAACCAGATAGATAGATAGATAGATACAATCTTGCAAAATAAAATGCTGGTTCCACAAGTCTATGTGGTTTTATAGGAAGGAAATGACTGACATTTACCATGTTTTAATGGTTTACCAGTATATTTGTCCATTTCAATTGAATGTCACGTAAAGTCCCCTAAAGATGGATATCAATTGGTATATTTATTCTGAACAAGGTTCATCCGTGCATAATATTTTTTGTATTTAGGTTTTGCTCTTTTTTTTTTTTTTTTTTACAGCTTTGACATTTGAAGTGGCACAAAATGACTTGGCAGCTTTGAGTAGAGTATTTAGGTCTCAGCTCGGTGACATTTGGCATTTCAACAACTTTAATTTAACATTATGGTACTTTGCTTGGCACACTCTTTTCAATTAATGCTGTTTCATGAGATAGTTAAGCATTTGTACTTTCTGTACTCCAGTTAAGTTTCACTGTTTGTCACCAGGGCAATCATGAATACGACAGAAATAAATCTGCACTTAATAGTAAATAAATTCTTCATGACACTGTGTGACAAACTGGACAAAGCATTTTTAAGCTTTCTGATTTTTTTTTCTCATGGAGGTAACAAAATGATTTGCATCCTCTTCCATTTCTTTTGTTTTATAAAGACATGATATAGTCATTCAGTAGCAGTTTTTCCACAATCCTGTTTACCATTTCACTGTGTGTAATATGATATTCACAGATCATTTATATATATATATATATATATATAAAACAATTAAGGCTATAATGCCCCACTGTAAACGTCTTAGTGCAAAATTTACGCTATGTTGCATTTTCAGTAAAAATAACAGCAACAAGTGTAAACAACCACTATTGAGATAGCTTTCAGGTGTAGCAATTTTAGGGGTTGGCTCTTTTATGCCTTGAAGCGATCTTTAGTATGCATTTATGACCAAAATGAAACAGCGAAAAATATGTTTTGCATTTTAACTTATTAACAGAGGATTTATTTGATTATCTATGTTTTGAATGTATTTATTAACAGACATGATACTGTATTTATACTGACGTGATTTAATTTGTGCCATGTGAGGATGAGAAAAAAAAAACATTTGTATACAGTACTTTTGATCTGCACTGACAATATGTTGTTGGTTTAAACTTTGGGTTATTTTGTATGATGAATGTCTTGATATTAAATTTTTAATGTGGATTTACCTGTGTACGTTTCCTTTATTCACCAAAGTTCAAAACTGGCATTTTTAACTGTTTTAAACATTAATCTTTTTGTTGCATCCAACATTGCATGTCAGATCAAAACCTACACTACTGTTTATACGTTTGTTTGGGGTTTTTACTTTGAACAAAAATACAATAAAAACAGTAATATTGTGAAATATGATTACAATAAGATAATTCTATATTGTAATATATTAAATAGTAATTTATTCCTGTGATGGCAAAGCTGAATTTTCAGCATCATTACTCCAGTCTTCAATGTCACATGATCCTTCAGAAATCATTCTAATATGCTGATTTGCTGCTCAAGAAACAACCTATTATTATGTTGAAAGCAGTTGTCCTGTTTAATATTTCTGTGGAAAGTGTGATACTTTTGTTACTAATTAAGCAAAAAATATATATCTTTATTTCAACCACTATATTTATTTCGAAGTATAATAGAGCAGATTGTCACAACCAGATGAGAAGAGCAATTGTCAGAATAGTGACAAAAACTCTAGCTACAATGCTGACACAGATGCAGAGCTGTTTTGCTGAAATGGCATGAACTTTGAAGCAATCTCCAGTATTTCTCTGATTCACCTCAGAGAGTGGCTAGACGGATTAAAAAAGCCAACAGTAAGTGAGACCCACAATTCACTAGAAACCAGCGAAAGCAACATACACACATCCAGGAAACACCTTCATGATGATCTGGGGTTTCGGTTTTTTTAGCAAGAAGATCTTGAAAATGTTTTTGTTTTGTTTTTTGGCATGAAGGTTAACAGATAGAACCAAAACAGTCAAATGACTGTGCATATAGTACAAAGATTCATTTTCCAGCAGAACTATGACACAAAGCAGCAAGTATGATATAATTAATGACCCTTATTTAAATCCAAATAAAATCCTGTATGACCCGAACATTGCAGTTCACAGATATTCTCCAATAAATGTAGGCTAATTTATTGATGTCTGGAAGTTTAAATTAACAAATAAATCACAAATTCAAGGTGGGATATTTTCTTAAAGTTTGTGGAACAGATTTGGAGAAATTCAACATTACATCACTCTCATTTTGACGGCACCCATTCACTACAGAGGATCCACTGGTGAGCAAGTGATGTAATGCTACATTTCTCCAAATTTGTTCAGATGAAAAAGCAAGCTCATCTACATCTTGGATGGCTTAAGGGTGGGTATATTTTCAGCAAATTTAAAGTTTTGGGTAAACTATGCCTTTAATAAGTTTAACCATCATATAAATAATAATTGATCTGTCTTCCATCATATCAGGCCAAAATCCATGCCCATTATCTGAAGTGAGCAAATATGATTGCCCATAAAAGGAAGATGTGGGAATGTTTAAATAATTCTTGGAATCAAACATATGCTATTTTAGCAACCCAAAACTACATCCACAAATACAGTTATTTTCCACTTGAGAATAAACTCATTTTTCTCTGGAAAATGCTGACTTACTTTGGCTGTGATAAATTGCAATAACTTTTCAGACACAGCTTGAACAACACCTATCAGTATTTCAGGCCTATCTATCAAAACAACCTTTGTCTTTATAAACACACCTCTGCACCTCAATAAATAAATCATTGTCAGAACGCTTGTCCCTAATCCAGCTGCTTTTTGTATGTGTGCACACCTCCTGACAAACACAACTGAGAACATATAATGATGCCATACAAAATGTTTAGTCCTGCCACTTTCAGCAACATGCTAATGGTTAAAATCACATGTTGTCAAAGATGAGACTGGCTTGTGAGCTGCATCTAAATTGACATTTTAGTGGACTTTTTGAAGGTTCTTTTAAGAACTGTTCACTGAAAGGTTCACTGGGAATCAAAATGGTACATTTACAGTATATATGTGTGTGTGTGTGTGTGTGTGTGTGTATTATTGGTGTGAAGAACATTTTTATAATCTAAAGAACTTTTTCCACTGCAATGGAGAGATGCCAATAAAAACCTTTATAAAAATGTAAGGTGCCGTTCTACCACAACATTTGTCCTGTTTTAGGTCGCTGACTTGTAGTAATAAGTAAGTTATAGTAGTAACAAAGGCTCATTAATTTTACGTTTTGGTGAATAAGTTGCAAATTTGTTTGAATTTTTACAAACTCATTTGTATGTTTTTGTACGATCTGCTCATGCCCCTCCATGGATTATGCCTTTATGGAGACATTTTACCTACAAATAATATGTTTTTGTATGATTCGGATTGTACAGATTCATATGAAATTGCACATTGTGCAATACTTACACCTATTCATGAGACTGGGTTGAACATGTCAAAACAAAAATAAGCGATAAACAATTTTATGTTCTAAGAACATTTTCTTACAACATTTCCAAAGAGTTATGAAAAAGTGTGGTACCATTATGTACTTCAATACACATCTGCATCTAAAGTTAGTACACTAAACACTATCTGTATGATAGTGTATTACGTATGAACAAAAACTTTATTTATTTATTTTTATTTGTTTTTGCAAAATGAATCATCCCTATTAAAGATGAGATCTACAACTGCACAATCGCAATGAGGACTGCCAAAGCAGACAGCTCAAGGCATACCTGATCGAACTTACGAAGAAAAGTAAACACTGGCCTTTATCCCAGGTATATTTGTTTAAACATGCAAATAGAGATTCAGCAATCATGGCTAATTTAGCATGCAGTGTCGCCTCAACATTTAGGCTACAATCAGAATACCTACTAAATCATTTTATACAGGGTGTGTGAAATTATGGGGGTTGGTTTGGGCGCCACTGACCGGGTCTACTATTGTCACTCACTGACAAGGCCTGTCAATCTTCAAGAATGTCTCGAGTCGAGAGTCACCTTAAGAATAGGGGACCTGAAAAGGTCTGTCAATGGTTGTGAGAAATGGCTGATTTTGAATGGAGTGTTGTCCACATAAGGAATGTCTGTGAAAGGTCAAAACTGATTAAATACGTGTATAGAGCAGAGAACAGTGCGTAGTAGAGCTCACTGGCAGATAAAGGTGTGACTATTCAAGTGTTAACTGGGTTACTCAAAAGCAGTGTTGGGAAGGTTACTTTGGAAATGTAATAGGTTACAGATTACAAGTTACCCATATTTAAAATGTAATAAGTAGCGCAACTATTTCAATTACTTTATTAAAGTAATGTAACTGATTACATTCGATTTGGCTACTTTTTTTATTTGGCTACTTTTCTAAATTTCAAATGAATGTTTTCAATTGTTAATCATTTTGAAACATTTAAACAGGCAGGGTTAACCTTACAGTATAGCGCCCAACACTGATTACTGTCAAACTTTCAAAATCCTTCTCCACTTGAATTAAGATTATAATCATTTAATTTTAAAGCACAGCAACCACAAAATCAGACTTTAGCACCTCTTTTTATTTTGAGACCGTTCTGAGATTAAATACAGTTTTAAAATAATTAATAACAAGATATAGTTTAATAGCTTTGATACTGTTTTTGAAATTAAATATTTGCATAGTTATGACAGGAAACATTGGCACCTAACAATGCCTTGGGAAAAAAAAACAGTTAATATAAAAAATAAAGCACAAACCCAAATAGGAAATAAAACAGTTATTGAATAAGCATGTGTCCTATTCTGTGTCCTAAACTCCTGAAACACTGGTGTCTCATATTTTAAAGCAGTCAATGCAATTTATGAAAGAAATCATTCACATCTGTATGTGTGTGAAAACATTCAGATGTAACCTCCTTTGTAATCGTTAATATTTTCAGAAGTAACTGTAATTTAATTACACTTTTTTTTTCTCAGTAACTGTAACAGATTACAGTTACATTTATTTTGTATTAATTAAATGACGTAATTCCATTAGGCCTACATGTAACTAGTTACTCCCCAACACTTCTCAAAACAAAAAGTCAATTAAATACTCAAATGCATATATTTTTTAAAAAGCAGAATTTAATTTAGTTAAACCCTGTTATGGTGTGACTACTGCATTATTAAAAATAATACAGTTTACACCTATATAAGGAATTTGCACCTACTATATAATGGTCATATCAACCTCAATAGTTCAGCTATGTTAAGTACAATTGGAAAATAAAATATAGCCTAAAATGTATTCTGAAATACAACAACACCGGGACTTTCGTTGACCATGTATGCCTTGTGTTTCAAGAAAGTTTCAAAAAAGTGTTACAACTGTACTTTACCTCAGGATGGATTTTAGAGCGCCATTTTGGGGCAAGGCCAAACGCAACGTCCAAACCAGTGTTGCCAATTTAGCAATTTTGTTGCTAGATTTAGCAACTTTTCAGACTACCTTAGCAACTTTTTCTTCCAAAAGCACCTAGCAACAAATTTAGCTATTTTTTAAAATTTATTTGGCAACATTTAGCAACTTTTAGCAACAAATCAACCTTCCTTTAGCAACTTCCCCTGAAAATTAGTTGGCAACACTGGTCCAAACGATGGGCTATCACGATTTGCATTTGCTTCTTTAGGTGAGCTGGACAATTTGGAAAAAGTAACGCAGTTACTTAATGTGAAATTATATTGGCCGTAAACAACATGTTTTTTATTCAAACAGAGCCTTCATCAAGCGCTCAGATCAGTTTGAACTAATTTAGGGGGGAACAAAAAATAAAAAATAAAAACAGCAACAAACTGACAACTTAAATAGGCCTATGTTTTTGTTATAGGCAATTCCAACACAAAACGTTTGTTATTGGTAGATTATTAACATGGAAAAAGTTGTCCTAAAGATGGCAAGGGATGCAAATATTACACGTCATTACATTTAGAAGCTACCGTAAATATTAGTAGGTCTAAATGTGAGATATGGTATTTTTGTCGTACATAGGCTACAGGAGATCATGGTCATGCTGTCCTGTGACATGATGTGGATTTAATCAGGTCAGTAGACACTTATTGTAGACGTTTTTGTGCTGTTTATTGTACTATGAGTGTATTTTTATACACAAATGTAAACACGGGCTTTGTCTGAGGAGTAGTATTTTAGCAGTGCCTATACATATATAGTATACATGGTAAATGGCTCCATCTGCTGGTTATTCATAAGTTTTGTCTTCACCAAGATTGCTTTGGTTTGTTAATGCTTTAGTTTATGATGTTAATATCATAAACAGTATTTTGATTTAACTGATTCTTCAGTGGAACACAAAATGATATATTGTGCATAATATGATGGAATGAAAGCCTCGGTGACCATTCACTTGCTTATTTTTGTTGACGTTTGTGACTTGCATAATTTTGTTGACGAATGTGAATGACGACTGAGGCTTTCCTTCTGCCTGACCTCTCTTTTAATGTTCCAAAAAGAAAATCCTACAGGTTTGGATGAGTAAACTTGACAGATTTCATTTTTTTAGGTGAATGGGGGTTAATTGTTGCAGCTGGGCACTGGCCACAAGAAGGCGCCATAATACAAGGATTCAGAAAAAAAGCTTAGTAACCATCGATCTTCTAGTACGTTTTTGTCGTTGTAGATCAGAATTGTAAACCGTTTGGTTTGCAGCACGTTCCAGATTCACTTTGTTGTAGGCTTTGTAGAATTTATGATAATATGAGATTATTTTTGTTATGTATTTTAGCAGTTTGAATGCCCCTACATATTTTCCACACTTTCTTAGACTCCAAATATTGTACAGGTGAGGTGATCAGCAAAATGATAATGTATCTGGTATTTGTAAATTTAATTGGGACCGAACGATTATAAAATATATTTGAGCCTACTCTACGTGAAATTCATTGCGCTTCTTGAAATACACAACGCAATTACAATAAGAAAAGGCTGGAGTATCTTTGCATGAGCTGTTTGATTTTACTGCGTTTTTGAAGGCTGTAATTAATTTTCCGAAGGGACATGACGTCTGTTCAGATGAATAACTGTCCATCTTTTGCTTACAAATCCCCATTTAAATCAGTGAAATGCCACTCAGTCGTTGTGTATATGAGAACGATAATTTGAAGTTAAATCCGTAGATATTTAATTGTATTGTGTCGCATTGTCCTCCCCCCCCCCTGAAATGCAAAATCTTAATTTTAAACATGCGAATCGCTGTTTATGTAGTAGAAATGTGTATTTCGCTTTAAATAAGACTTTCGTGTACAGAGATTGTATTTTTGTAATAAATATATGACAGATAGAATATGCATTTCTAGTTTTGTAAGCTGTACAAATGATTATATACTGATATTATTGTTTTATATATTTAGAAAAATAATTAATTGCTATTTTCCAACAGAAAATGCATTTGTTTCCCTTAAAAATACTGCTTTTATTTTCAGCTCTATAGTTTGTACCATTTACCTCGAGGACTGTGGTCTTTATACCAAGTCACTGGAGTATTTGCTGGGACTCACTTTCACTGTGCCCCTTCAGAGTCTCCAATGTCTGTATTAACCATGATAAAAAAAGCATATCAATGTCATGATTCTTTGTATTGATCAGCTTGATTATACAGATTTTCTTGTGAACCTCAATCATTATGTATTCAGTAAATTGAATTATTCTTCCTCATCAAGTGCCATGGGAATATTTAAAGAACCTGATCCAAATTCTGATCTTATTGATCCAAAATGATCAACACAATGTTTGAACAGCAGCAGCAGCGGATGCAGATGGAACCTAAATGTCACTGTATTTCTGATGGTCTTCTGTTTTAACATTTTATTCTGCTCCCTAAGAATAATGTAATGCTAATCTCAGCAGATGCTCTCCTTTATCTAAACAAACCTTTAATACTGCAGCACTGTTTTGTAATTAAAGGGCTAATAGGAGGTAGGGGGTTTGGTTTCTTGTGAAGGGGGTTGAGTCTGTCGGTCATGTCTGTGCATTTGAATACATGTATCATGAATATGCATCTCTTAACCTAGAGCATTAGAGCTGTGGTTGGTCAGTGGATCTGTCTGATTAATGCAAGTTTTGCCTAATATATGTATGACTTCAACTGCTGAGCTCTTCTCGAATACCACAGATATAATTTTTGTCTATACATTAGAATAGCTCTTTAGATGTTCAAATTTATGTGATAAAATGTGATTAAAACTACAGCAATTTCAGTTTTCATAAATTAGTTATACTATTTTTGTTTATTCAGTCATTTTTTTTACTGTTTGTTTTCAAAGGCAGGACTTTTAATTAATTTACTTTTCAGCCTGAGTAAAATGAACAGGACAAGATCTTACTCATAGCACAATTAAGTCTAATTTGAACGCAGCGCTATATAGTTAACCTTCAGAAAATTTCCACAGGGCTTTCATTAGTTGAAAAGTATTAAATCCATTTTCATAAATGTATTACTCTCTTCATAAGAGGGTAAAATAATCCTTGCTAATCACAATGTAATAAAACTTGTCATATTTTGTTGTACATTTGGTATTTCCATTTCTGATTCCCAATAGTCTGAGTCAGGCCAAATGTACTGAAATGTGCAGTGTTCACATCTGTTTTCAAGCCTTCAGAGTTAAAGGCCAAAAAAAAAACAAAACACATATATATATACATATTTTCAGTGAATGTCTACTCTGCATTCCCCAGTTTTAATTGAATATGTGGCTAAAGTTATATACTAAAACCTTCATTTAAAAGCAAATTAATGTAAATTTCACAAGGAGAGCGGAGGTGGCAAAGTGATTTTTTTGTTGTTGCTAATTTGCAAAGGTACTTAATATTGAGACCTTCAATTTTAGATTACCTCAACTGGTATAAAATGAGATATGCATAATTTGTCTTTTTTTGGAAATTACACATTAAGCTTTGAAATGCTTTGATTGCAGTGGCACATTTGCATTGCAATATGTCAGCATTGTTGCAGTCTATTCAATATATTTTTATTGTAGCAAAGGTCGTTCGTTGTTTTAGAGCGGGATTGCGATTTGAAAATGCAGAGGGAAAAAATGTCAAGATTTTTCGTCCCTGACAAATGCACTCTCGACAGTGATTGGCCATTTATATGTTCCTCCTGTCTGTTGAATTGTTTTGAAGTTTGTGTGTTCCCCTTTAAGAAGGGGGCTTTTTGCAGCTGAAGAATTTGCTCTCCTGTCGCTGTGAATGGGGCCCGGGCAGGAGCTTAGCGAGGGGCCCAATGTTTTGTTCTGTTACACTTCAATAGGGCGTCAAGCAGGGTTTGGGCCTGACAGCCTGTGGATTAAAGGCTCTTACCAGAATCTGTTCGCCCCACCCCCTGACCCGCGCACTCCAACAATAGCCTGAAAGAAACACATTCTTAACTCTTCAAGTACTACGTTGTAATTTGCAGGTGGCTATAGCCTACCAAGTCCCTCTAGTCCGAGACGATAAGGGTTATGGAGAAAAAAAAGGAGGGGGAAGAGGGTGTTAGTCATAGCCCACCTCCTTTTTTGCACCACTTTAGCTTTCGTATACATTTAAAAATATAAATTCATTTCTCGTCGATCTGAAAATCAAACATCTTGAAGTGCGTCATTGGACGCTAGACTTGAATTCAGAAAGGTACATTGTGTTCTTCTAATCCCTGCTATCTTTCCAAATTGTAAAAGATACACTGGATGTCAACAGTTTGGGGTTAGCAAAGCAGCCGTTGTTAACAATAGCCAGATGCCTGTTCCGAGCAAACAGCGATGCTCCCAGGGGTTGTAGCGATGACAAACATTTGTTGTTGCCTTCTGTTTTGACAGCACTTCCGAACCCTGGAGCCAGGAAGACACAGACTTTTGTTTGCAAAATATTTGACACTAGAGATCTAGATGGTAATAAAACCAAGCGAAAAATAGAAAGAAAGAAAAAAAAAACTTATTTTAGTTACTATTCTTATTCAATAAGAATTTTTAAGGTTCAAATGTGTTTAATCTAGATGGACCACTAGGTGGAGCTATTTGAAAGTTCCTCAGCAGGAACAGAAGTGCACAGGTGATGGGTTTGTGAAGTTTATGTAAGACTTTTATTTAGATTTTCTGGGTTCTTCTAAGTGAACTTTTTTATCTAAATGTTTACATGTTGGTTCAACATGCAGCGGGGAAGTTGGAAGATTAAAGCAGTCCTCAATCATTCATCATGTCAGCAAAAGTCGTAATAAACACGACTAAAAATGACCTAAACAATAGCTCTTTTTGGTCACGTCAATCAGAGTATTTTTCCAGTGTGCTGAAATAATGCTCCTCAGAGTATTGCTGTCCAGAAGCTCTCTCGTGGTCCAGCGGAGAGGAGTCAGCTGGGTCAAGCCTTGCTCATCCTTATAGTCCCGGCCGGGTGTGTAACACCAGACTGCATCTGGCCAATGATTCAGAGTGTCAGAGTTCACATCGCGTACTCGCGCGCACACACACACTGTGGGCCGATTCACGACCCTGCCACTCTTTCTTTGTGGTCAGATGATCGGTTTGATCACCCTTATTTAAAAAGTTTTACACGGAATGCTCTGTTCATTCATTTCCATATCCTCTATAGCCTCGGTTTCGAATGATCCGGGTCCAGGCCTGAAGGGACCCAAGCAAAATGTTTTTATTTATGGGGAAAATGGCATTGCTGACATTGCGTATTAGCTCTAAGTGCGTGCGTGGTCAATGGTGTTTTTGAAAACTTCTCCTTAAAGTGGCAGCCTTTCAAGAGCAGCCGCCTTTTCCCCTCCCTTTTCCTGTCACCAGTAACAGAACACAGATGTGACACGGGGTAGCAATTCCACCTCTATTTGTTTTAAACATTATTTAAAATGTTTGCAGTCCTGAAAAGGGCTAGGGAGGGAGAGATGGGCTGCGTACACGTACATGTATGTGAGAAAGAAAAGGGGAGAGAGAAAGAGGGAAGGTAAAGTGTGTTTATGGACCCCTGGCCAGACCAGGTACAGCTAGTGACAGATATGTAAACAGCTCGAGCACGCTAGACACATACTGTGAAAATAAAGTAAAGCAGCCAGATTTTAAATGTCTTCTGTTTACTTTGGGATGTTTCCTAAAACTGTTGAACTGCTAGTTAATTTTCTCGTATACATGTCATAAATCCTTTACACCTGCAACAGTCTGTAATACAATGTTGAGCTTGTTATGAGACGGCCAGTTTATTTTTTTTATTAGTGCCTGGTTTTGTCATAATTTTTTTCTGTTTAATAATACTAACAGTAAAATACTATTTTTATAGTAGTTAATAATAACATGTATTATTACTAAATAAATAATAAACTATTGTTATTGTTATGATTAGTGTTATTATTATTATTTATAGAAAATGTACTACTGTCATAATAGTTCATTTAATAATAGTAATGTTACTAAAACTAATACTACTACTAATAATTTCTTATGCTGTGTCGTTGGAGAATAAGAATATATTTTTTAAAGCATAGTTATTATTGTAAGAAATAATAATAAAGCTAATAATATTAGTACAATATTTATAAATGCGCAAATTAGAGTTTAATGCAGGGTTTATATACCAATGCAACACTTGAGACTTTCTTTCTCATAAAAACGTTTTGAAATCACTTTTGACTTGCTGATCACTTTTTTTCTTTCTTTTTTTTGTGGGGTATTTTGGACCATATATGTGAAGCTCAGTACACATCAAGGTGCTCTCGAAGCAAACAGCCGACTGTAACCTTCAAAGAATGAAAGAAAGAATCCAGGCTGCAGTGAAATCTAATCCAGCCACAGCTATAGCTACATGTGTCCAGTGTGTCTCCATTGGGCTGGCAGGAGGAGAAGGGGGAAAAAAAATCAACGGATTGGGGACCTTACTTGCTCACAGCAGAAATGTCAGCGAGACATTAAACAGTGAAAAGCTGGGTGTGCTTTCATAGTACAACCTGTCTGTTTTCCCTCCTATTTTTTAAATTGTCTTTCACTGAGCCTTTCACTCTGTGATCAGTATGTCCTGGTCATTTTCCAGGCTGTTTGTTGAAGTTATGACTAGAATGGGTGCTGTGAACCAGTAACACAGTAAATATTAATATTGAGCCCTCAGACTATTTTATTTTATTTTATTTTGTTTTACATAAATATAAAGTAAATCAAAAAAGTCCTTATAAAGACTAACATCACAAAATGGAACTGCAAAAAGCATTTAAACAGGTTTCCCAAATACATTTCCCATTCCCCACTAGAGGAAAAACAGGTAGCCAGGTGTCAGTTTTCGCTATGAATTAACCTACGAATCCCTTACTTATAACGGTCTCTGCTTATTAAGATGGGTTACGATTATTTTAACATTTAACAAGTGACACACTTCACCTTTAAGTTTTAGTTTTTTTGGCTTAAAGGTGTGATCGAAATCTAAAGCTGATGTACTTGGCTTTTTGTCAAAGATAACCACGCTCTGTCTTTGCCAGCTATGATTCGCGGTTAGCGTGAAATTTCTACTTGCGTTTATAGTGATTACAACTGGTTGCGTTTGATTAGGGGCTGCTATAATTGGCTGACATTAGATTTGTGGCCGCATGCTGCTGCTCAGCGGGTGGTCCTGGCATGGACTGTCATTGTTAGGATAGAGGCAGCCATTATGTACGGAAGTGGTGATCAGGAAGTCCTTTTGTCCAAAGTAACGGCTCTGCGGCGCTCTCCTCTAGAGACCAAAAACAACAAACTTGCCAGACAAACACAAACACATTGGCCGAGCTTAGGCATGTACCTGCAGTCCTCCCCCTCTCTCTCCATTCTAACTATAACCTCGCCTTAATTGAACGTGATTCATGATCCTCCCTTCTTTTCCCCTTGACGAAGTGCTTTTGTATGCATCCTTTAGTTCCAGGGCCAAAAGGCCCTTTAGTGCCCTTCAGGCATTTCTTATTAGTGTTGTAACATTATACCTTCTTTTTCCCACCCTCCTTCTCTCTGCAGACTCAAAACAGCTTTGAAACTCATCCTGGACTGGTTCTTTAACAGCACCTGAGGGCGGGAGACAGCAGGTTATGTGTCCAGGTCTTTCTCGCACACCTTCCTCGACCCCATCACTCCCACCCGAGAAGGTAAAGGCCCTCTGCGTGATGTCACATTCTATCCAGGGCTGCGTTTCTCGATAACGATTGATCTTAGCGCTTAAGCTTCTACGAGCCATTTTACGATCATTCGTTATTGTTTCACGTGTGTTTCCCAAAAATGCACTTAACGCAATCGCACGTAGCCGTATAACCTCTCGTTAATTGAATGTGATTCGAGATCCTCCCTTCTTTTCCCCTTGAAGAAGTGCTTTTGTATGCATCCTTTAGTTCCAGGGCCAAAAGGCCCTTTAGTGCCCTTCAGGCATTTCTTATTAGTGTTGTAACATTATACCTTCTTTTTCCCACCCTCCTTCTCTCTGCAGACTCAAAACAGCTTTGAAACTCATCCTGGACTGGTTCTTTAACAGCACCTGAGGGCGGGAGACAGCAGGTTATGTGTCCAGGTCTTTCTCGCACACCTTCCTCGACCCCATCACTCCCACCCGAGAAGGTAAAGGCCCTTTGTCACGGAAGTGTACACAAGCAGCCCTTGTTTATTTTATTGAATGTTTATTTCATTTTTTAACGTGCCACTCAAGGCTTCGAGGAGACGCGTGTGTACCTTTCTTCAACCTGTGTAAACACAGCATATTTCGCCACTCGTTTCCCGCTGTAAAAAGTTTATATCTGTAATCTGTTAAGTCAGATATTTTAAACAACATCTCGCTGTGTTTATAAATGCTGCCGGGCCGCTGTAATGAATTTACGGTAATGCGTTTTTTTTTTTTTTGTCTTCACTATCACTTCAAACCTTTTGCGGACGGGCCAAGCGAAAATCCTGTAAGATTATTTAGGTTTGAAATTAAAACAAAACCAAACGACTGAAATAGAAAATGTTGGTGTGACAGACAAAAACAACATGAGCGCAAACACTTCTGTGTGTAGGATGAAGACAAACAAGTGGTGGAAGTGTGTAAATCTGCACTCATACTAGTGAGGTGAATGATGAAGGATGAACACACTGTTATAGATTATTATGACCACCGGCAAAGTCATTTTTCATGGTGAAATATACACTGCAGATGATTTAGAATTTTTTTTTTTTTGGCGCTCATGAAAAGTGTGTATTTATTCTGTTGGATTTTCATTTGTCAGTGTGTGTAACTGAAATAACACTTTAAGTTGCATTAACCGACTTCCTGTGCAAATTATTCCTCAATTATCATTAAATGTTTGATAGAGTCTGGGGTGTTTTCACAGATAAAAAGAATAAATGCTATTGAGATTCAGTGGGAGGCTTCTTTGGTTAGTTTTAATCACTTATCATTTCTCTGTGTCATTTGTCACGAATCACAAGAGAAAAGAAGAATGGGATCAGGCTGGAGTGAAGTTGCTGTATGTCCGATTGCTTCTCTACTGATGAAACACACTTATCCTGCATTTACTGACCATGTTGTGATGAATGAGTGATGAATGAATAGCTAAGCATATAGTACAAATGACAACTATTGCTTTAGGAGGTGACATATTATAGGCTGCCCAAAGTTAAAGTGCTAAACAACAGAAATTATTATTTCTGAACTCTTTATACATCCCTGTCCATGTTTATCCATGTTTCAAAAGAAATCAATGTGACTGGGAATATTGCACATTGACCTACAGAAAGCTACTTAGTTTGAAGAGATTCAAACATCAGTACTCTATTGACAATAGATAATGTACCTTTTTTGACTGCAAAAATTCGCAAAAATTTTGTTAATGTGAATGCACCTTTAAAATTCCAATTCATCTAAAGCTCCAATCGGACCCAACTGTCCTGCATTGGAAGACAGGGTTCCCGCGGGTCCTTAAAAAGCCTTAAATTTAGTTGTATCAAATTTAAGGCCATAAAAAGTCTTAAATTGTAGAAGAAAGTCTTAATTATGATTTCAAATAGTCTTAAATTTGGGGACGGAAATACCAAAATTGCGATATAGCTTAATGTCACGATTAAACTTCAAAATGCTATGATTTCATTACATAAACATGAGCGCTGCACAGTCCAGTTCTGGCAGCTTTGTGTACTGCTGTTACCGGGGAAACAGGTATTTTTCTGCCTTTCCAAAAGCGCCACCTGCTGGCAGAGAATTAATGTTAATTTTCAATAAGCCTGTTTTGTTCAGACCAATGTGAAAATCAACCCATATTTTTACTTTGCAAACACGCAGAGCTGTAAATGTTAACTGGTGGATCGATAAGAAGATAATGCATTATAAAAATCTAAACAGTAAAATGTATTTGTTATTTAATTAATATAATAATTTATTGATAATAATTATTTAATTTAGTATAATAACTAATACTTTTGACTCATCCGTTTTCTTAAAAATAGTTTAAAGGCTGAAATGTGAAATGTATCATTGTATTAATATAAAATGTATAATTTTATAAAACTTTTTGTTTTTGTGAAAACTTGTATCTGAACTGTAAATCATGCTTTTTTCAGTCATTTTACAGTTTAATATGTTACTGTAAAGTAAACGTTTCCCTACCTGACATGCTTATATGGTATTCATTTTATTTGTGCAGGTCTTAAAAAAGGTCTTAAAGTCTTACATTTGAGCTCAAAAATCCTGCAGAAACCCTGGAAGACGACTGTGTGAAATTAAAGTTTGGTTACATCCTGTCTACTACTATACCTACATGTATGCATGCAAGAATAAAAAGGACATTTGATGGAGTAAATTTACTTATTTGTCTTTTTTATCGACTTATGAACTTATGAACATATAAATAATAGCTTGGTCATCTCTTTTAATTTTTTTAGATCATAAGAAGCTGCCTTAGGTTTTAGACACAGCAATTGTGACAGTGACAGACACACACCCACCCACCCACAAAGAGCGTGTTAGATGTATCTAAACATTGATAAACCCTTGGTTAGTCTTGGGCGTTGTACTGTCATATACCTCTATATCAGCTTGGCATTTTCTTGACAGGCTAATATCTATATAGAACATCTGTCAATTCACATCCTTCTCTGATATTGTCATTGCATTATAAACCATCCATTTGTCAATGTGATCAAACAATCGTCAACCTCGTGAAGCTCCTGCGTGATGTCACATTCTATCCAGGGCTGCGTTTCTCGATAACGATTGATCTTAGCGCTTAAGCTTCTACGAGCCATTTTACGATCATTCGTTATTGTTTCACGTGTGTTTCCCAAAAATGCACTTAACACAGTCGCACGTAGCCATGCTTTAAGTTATCCTCTTGTTGCTGGAAAATATAATGTAGCGATTCAGTATTTAAACTGTTATTAATAAAAGTTGTGGGGCAGCGTTGATAAGTTTCTTTTCTCCTGGATGTGTGAGCTGCGCGATCTCCGATATATATGTGTGCGTTTGTGTGTGTGTGTTTCAGTAAGCAGCACATTAATATAGAACAGTAATTAAAGACTCTAATGCACACCAGCACACCAGTATAGGTGTGTGTATTGTAGGAGCTAGACGACGTATGATGACGTGTGACGGCATAGTAGTGGTGTCCCAATACTTAGGGGAATATTTTCACCCCTACCCCTTGACACTCTGTTTCAAGGGACAAGGGGTAGGGGAAGGGGAAGGGGTATAAAATAGAATTGGGATTGGGCCTAAGATCAGTCGTACGATCGTTTTTACGAACTTCTTAGGCTTACGAAGCTTTTGGGAAACGCAGCTCAGAACAATCACAAGTTCCATCAGAGTGACACAAAGAATGGTGGACGTGCGGCTAAGGAGGGAGTTGTTCTTCATATTCCCTCAGATGTGAGGGGCCGTATATTAAGGCAGTCAAATTGTAGTGTGTGGATGATTGGTGGCAAGAACCTGGACAGGGAAGATTGCTCGTGAGAGTAGCCTCGCATTAAGCCTGTCAATGTACGAACAGTTCACAGGAGAGAGCTATAATTAAGCCTCCCTCATCCAGGAGAGGCTCTCCATTATATTCAAATTAAGCATGAGTGATTTTGATCAATGTATTCTGAAGGTATGTGTGTGTTGATAGCCTTGGAGAGGCATGGGATTTCATCTCACCGTGTCAGACAAACAGAAGAACGAGAGAGAGGGTGACAGAAACAGACATTTTTTGAAAAGATTCAAGACACAGTTCCTTTTGTTTGGATTATGATCGTATTGTCTCGTAAAGTTGTGGAAAATGTCAGATCGCCTGTCCTCATATCCGTCTGCGAGTGTGTGTTCCTGTGCCTCAAGCCGACTGATTTGTTGCCGTCACCGAGAGTGATAAAGCAATTCCTCTTCCTGAGCGTTCACGACCACATCTTCGGAGAACAGTTTGTTCATTTCAATAGCTTGGGGACGTAAAAAGAGCGGGCGAAGTTCCTCCCATAAATCTCAGCTGAAATATGACTTCTCCAGCCTTTTCCTCACAACTCGAGTGTGGAGGCATGCTTGAACCTGACATTAAATGCCCCTCTCGTCTAAATGAGCGCAAGACTGATGGCGGAAAAGTTACACTTCCAGAGCAACAGATAGTGACCAGAAGTGTGCGAGCTTTAAACAAGCTGTATGAATTGTGTTCAAGTCCTTACTGGTTTATCTGTCCAGGAGAGCTATAAAGAACAAGAAACAGACTCTGAGGCAATAAATTTGACTATTATTTGTTGGCCAGAGCGAGTATAACATATCTTTGTTTAATATGTGAGTGCATGGCAGTCACTTTTACATAAAAGTGCTGGAGGGAGAGAACAGACGTGCAGGTTGTGATTTCACAAAGTGGCTAAACTTATGAATTAATTGGGTTATACACAATTAATTTAAAATGATCTCGCAGTGTTTTGATAATAAATCAATAGTCACTAAATAAATAGTGTGTCTAGTAAGGTATTTGCTCAAGTCACAAATAAAATTTAAGCAATATTATGATTAGAAATGGTTGCATTGTACATTAACATCCCACTGTATTCTCATTAACTTCTGATTTGAGAACGAGAGTAATTTTGAAGCTTGTGACGTATTTCGTTTGAAAACTTAATCTGCTGTCGATTTTGGGATTTTTAGATC